CGCGACCCTGAATTCGCGTCGACAGGATCTTTGACATCCGGCTATGGCTCCTGCGACCGTGACTCCTAAACTCGTGTAACGGCTTTAGACGGCTTCACTGCGCTCCGATAAAACCTGGGACCGCGACTCCTAAACTTGCGTAACGGCTTCACTCAGGATCCACGAGCTTCGGCTTGTCTGATTCCTGAACTAACTAAACTAACTCCCGCGATCCACGGCACGCACCGACGCCGGGGTCCGTTCACGGTCCTACCTCGCTCGATCCCACGACGCGCATCGACGCCAAAGATCGGTAAGCTCTGACACGACCGAATCGAGCTATCACCATCTGTGGCACACACCGACGGCAACGGTTTTCTCCGAACTAACCTTCTCACCTGATCCATGGCACGCACCAACGCCGAGATCAGAAAGATTTGTCTCAAACCCTGCACCTAAAAAACACCTCGGCTGCGCAACGACACCTTGGTTAAACAAAACGTCTCAAAACTTAACATACACACACGCCCGCTAAAATAAACACCCCCAGCCGGTTCTACCCAAACCGCCCGGGGGCTCGGGGGCTACACCCGCGGGTGCGCTCGCGCGCACCCGCCGACACAACACAGAAAACCCCCCAGCCGGTTCTGCCCGAACCGCCCGGGGGCTCGGGGGCTACACCCACGGGTGTGCTCACGCGCACCCAGCAACAAGACAAAAATCCCCCAGACGATTCAGCTCAAATCATCCGGGGGCTCGGGGGCTCCTGTCGGGTTCATAAACCCAGGGTCCCTCAGGGACCGGCTTCGACGCCTGGGCTCGGCCCAGGAGAACAGCCTGTAGCTCATGGGCCGGCCCAAAAGTCTAAAAAACAACGGGCCGGAAGGACAGGCCGGTCGCCGACCGGAAGGTCTACCGAAGGAACGAACGCCCGCTCGACAACTTCTTCGGCCCACCTCTCCGACCGGAGCGCTCGCATCGGGCGCCAGCCGCCTCCGGGCGGACTCTCCGATCAGAAGGCCTGGCCCAAAACACTGCTTCCTACTCTGACCCCGCGTCTCCGACCGGAGACTCGTAGGAAGCCTGCTTACCGCTCTTCTCCGACTGGCATGACCAGTACCGACTGGAACCATTCGACCGGGGATTCCCGCTCGGAAGGGACCAGGGGCGAACGGAGAAAGCAGCGCACAAAGGTCAAACCACGATACCAGGACCATACCCTGAATGCCTGCGGGAACAGTGCTCCGCAACCGACCTGACACAAACAGTATTGTAGGTGCCGACATTTGCGCCTACAGTATTGTAGGCGCCGTTGGGGCTCCCGTACGGCAAAAAGGCCCCCCACGTGCCTCTAGGCATCGATGGAGAGCGTCAGGATTCACCATACCTGGTACATGTGGTAGGGTCCCCCTCATACTAACAGTATTTTGCAGGCACCGACGTCCACCCTTCCTGAAGAAGCCAACGCAACCCCCCATATGCACCTGACATTCTACAGTGGCATCAACAATATCGTGGGCGCCTACCATCATCGCTACCCTCGTCGGCGTGGGCAACAAGGCTTAGAAACATCCGTACTCTCTCCCTCTCACCTGTAGAGCCATCCCCTTTATCTATAAAAGGAGATGCGGTCCCTCCAAAGAAGAGGACGATTCTTCTTCAAGCTTAGATTCACTAGATCGATAACTCGCAACCCCTCAAGCACACGCTTGAACACCTAGCTCATAGCGGAGTTCCGGTCGCCCTCAGCCCTTCCGGTCGGACCCGACCGGGCCTCTCGCACACCCCTCCTTTCTCCTTTTCGTTTGTAACCCCACTACAGACTTCGAGCACCTGGGTTCAGGAATAAAGTCACCGACCGACCCACACTGGACGTAGGGCACGTTGCCCGAACCAGTACATATCCTGTGTCATTGAGTGCTAGGCCACCTCCGATCACAACGTATAGCAAAACTATAAATATTCACTAGTTGGTCACTTTCTGTACCGACACTTTAAAAATAAAATATTTCCAAATAAATTAAAGTTTGGGTTGAATTCATGCCCTGCTCGAATTCAACATGCAACCACTTCATACATGATTTTTATATTTCCTAAAACTAAAACCCTAACTCCCACTCACCTCATTCAAAGATAGTTCATAGTATGTTTTTGTGCACTGTGTTATTTTCATATTGTATGTTTGTGTTTGGTTTTATTTTGTGTTTTATTGGAGCTGTTTTCTTATCAAATCCTTGGCAAATGGAATAAGGAAAAACCAATTTTCCCTTTACCTGCAATCGTCCCAGCTTCCCCTTGCGGTCCAGCCTGCCACTCCCTTCCTTCCCTCCACTACAGCCTAGCAACCACCCACACTCTACACAGCTCGCCCTGTCGGCCCACGCGCTCCCTCCAAGTTTTCTAGCCCACCTCCCCATCGCCTAGGCCTCAACCACCCCAGCGGCCTAGTGCGCAACTAATTGTAGCTGGCCTCGCTCGTGCAACCCTCCTCATCGGTCACGCAGCCCATCCTGCAGCCCAACTCAAGGTCCAGCTGCAGTGCCCTAGGGCGCTCCACTCTCCAGTGGGCGCCGCCGCCACAACGTCGCCCCACATAACCCGCTCACACCTTGCGCAAGTCGCGATGTGTGCCACTCATCGTGAGGCGGACACACACGTCCAAAAATGCTGGCACCCACCACCAACTCTAGCTGCGCCCCCTATAAGGCCTGTTACCGCCAACTTGCTCTTCCCTTCTTCCTGTGCCAGGCTGCCAGCCACCGCCTCCGCCCTCCTCTTCATCTTCACCACCAGCCGCCGTGCGGCCCGGTGCTCGTGCAGGCGTGCCGAGCAGAACACCACTGCTGTGTAGCCGCCATGCCGTCGCCAGGAGCGGCCACGGCCGTGGTGCGGGGAGCCACCCCGCCATGTTCCAAATCCTAAGTATTGGTTCTGTTGGACCATTCGCTTGAGCAAGCAGACTGTCCACGTGAAGAATCCCAAAAGTGGGTAGCCTTGGGAATCTGGGGAGTGAATTATTGAAATAGTCCGGGAGTTCTGCCAGACTGTTTAGAAGTGCATTGTGTTGAAAACACTTAAATGTGTGCACTAGTTGACCGTTCGGGTGAACGAGTGGACCATTCCAGCGCGCATTTCTAAACTAGGTGCTCTCGTGTTTCTGTAAAAAAAAAAATCCTCGGACTATTCGGTTGCTCTGCCGGACTGTACCGGGGAACATATGTTTCTGTAAAGTATTCCTTAGTGCAGGTGCTCCCGTAGACTGCCCGAATGCTCTGCCAGACCATCTGTGAGAACATAGTTCATGTGTTCTTAGGACTTCGAAAATGAAATCCGACCCTAGTGTTTGCATTTCCAAGTTGCTTTGTGGGGATGTTCGTAGGGTTCTATGGAACATACCTAGCTATGTGGTTGGAGTTACATCGCATCAAATCTTCTATTGGGAGTGTTTCTATGTGATGAACTTGCTAAATCTCCATTTCTAGGTTGTCCAAGTGACTCTGCTCGTGATCAACTTACCAAGGAGATGAAGAAGATGCAGCAAGGTTGCTTGGTGGTGTGAGTAGAGCTCAGCTAATTCTTCTCCCCCTCCCCCCTTTTTTTGTAAGTTGGCGTTATTCTTCTTGAAACCTTTTCCTCCTCTTCTTGCTAGAAGATCCTAGGTCATCTTCATGGACATCACTTGCCTCTCCTCCCCTCAAAATCCCCTTCTCCTCTTTGCAGTGAGAGAGTGAGAGGGATTGAAAGAGAGAGTGACCGAGTGTTTCTCCCTTGTGTCCATCTCATGCTGAGAGGAGGGCAAGTGGCTGTCAAGTGGGGCCATGAGTGCTTAGAGTTGGACAGCTCGACTTTGTGTTGGCAGCGTTCTGTCCGACCGACCGGTAGGACATGCCAGACCGTTCGTCAAGACTTGTGTTTGTGTGTGGGCTGACAAGTCTGAGGCTGTGCATTCCATAATGATCCAAAAGTGTCAGATTGTCTGTGGGTGCACAATAGAGCTCAGAAAATGCAGAATTTTGTATGTAGTTTTTCAAAACCAAATTTAAAATGCTAATGATGTCAATGATTATGTATGGGTCATGACCGGGTCGTGACAAAACATAGTCTTGGTTTATCTAGTCGTGCGCGACGGCGGTGTCCGCTCTCTCCTTGGAAACATCACATTGAGAGATTATTTGAAACCATGATATTTCCATTATCAAATTTGAAAAACATATTATTTCCTTAAAGACAGGAACAGGATAGGTATAGAAAACAGTGGGCCTTGTTAGAAATTCAGAATGAATAATCGACGACAATGCTAGACTGACAGACCGAGTGAAGCTGCGGCGTACTCAGGGACGGTGTGCTCTGGGAAGAACATGCGATCGGAGCACATGTTGTAGCTAGCGGCGTCGGGGAACTCGAAGACGCGACGCGCGCCCCTGCACGACAGCACGAGCACGACGTTGCCATGCGTCTGGACGGAGGCGTTGAGGTGCTTGAGCCAGTAAATGAGGCTGGCGCGCGTTCACTGGCGGCTGCATGCACCAGCACCGCCGAGAAGTACCAGTTCCGACAAGTACCGGCAGTGCCGGGCTAGCTAGCAATGGATCAGTTGGACCTGACGACGAATACTACGTTTTTCCAAAGACTGAAATACTGAAGTGGCCGGGGGTCATTCCCAAGGAGCACTCGTTTCTGAATTGTTTTAGACAATTGTCACCCACCCACCCAGGATATATGCAAAGTCCGGTAAACTACATAGCCACACCACACAAATGTAGGATGATACTCGATCCAATGCAAATTTATTTTATTAGGAGATAACAACTGTCAACTAGCTAGCAACATAGAAAGTCACATCGATCGATAGTTACTGTTGCACTCTCAACGCTTGTGACACGCCCACAATCTCATATTCTATTTTTAGCAGACTGATGGAAGCAGCGACGACTGTAATAGTTTGCGTAATTTGTTTCTTTAGGGCCTGCCTGGCTGCCTCTAGCTGTGATACGTACGACGTACTCCGTACGACGGATAGCTCAGGCCTGATCCGGCTCCGGTGACGGCGTTGGGGCAGGGATAGGGATGATGCCCTTCTCCTGGAAGCATATGACGGTGTCGTACAGGGCCTGCGCCGCCGGAGTGAACTCCAGGCCCAAGTCCCTCAGCTTCTGGTTGGATATCTTGTACGGCTGCTTCCTTGGGTTCACCTCATCAGAGCACCTGCGAGATGCAATGCAATCCAAGAACAAGAAGTTAATACATGTTATAAGCATACTATTGATTACAATACAATACACGGACAGGTGGAAAATCCTGAGGAGAACTCATAAAGCCTCGTTCGGTTAGTCTGGAACGGACCGTTCCATGCTAGGAACCATTCCTGCGTTATACAAATTAGCGACGGAACCGTTGGGCTGGAAATTATTTTAGTGAACCGAACGAGGCCTAAAACGTATGAAGTATTTTTTGCACGACTTTAAAGTACCGTGCGAAGCAAAAGGCGGATAGATGCTTGACGGCAGAAGAATAATAGAATTTACCTGGCAGGATCGATCACGTCGTTGATCTATTAACGGTGAACTAATAATAAATAATAAAGAATGCTTAAAAAGTTTTTAAGTAGTATATGTACTAGCCAAAGAAGTCTATATAACTCTTAGCCACTGGACTCTGAAGAAAACAGCGAAAGATTGGGCAACAGATTTCCCAATCGGTTCTGCAGTATGCGCTACGTAACTCCACCGCCGATGCTTTTCACACTTGACAAAAGATGCACCGCACGTCGTAATCAAATTCTCACCTCATCATATTCAAACATTATTAGCACGTGAGCACTATCTGTTAGGTTCATCTCCTCTGACTCGGTCCAACGACTGAGTCGGGCCTTGATCCCGCGCCCTGATCGGGGGCGCCCAACCGAATCAATGGTTGGTGGGCCCCCGTCGCGCAGCGCCATAAAAAGAAGGTGGGGCCCGGGGCACTAGGTACGAGGTTCACTGCTGCCGCCACAATTCCAACCTACAAACCCTAAGCCGATTTAAAGGGGGCGCTGTGAGCGACGGGAAGCGCCACCGCTTCCGCCGCCGGACTCCACTACTGCCTTACATCAACACCATGGCTAGCTCCTCCGCCAAGCCTGCCGATGGTCGGTAACGCCTCCTCACTCTCATCCTCTCTTTCTATCTTTTTCAGTTTTAGTTCATATTCTAGGGTTTACTATATCATAAATGCAAGTTTATACCCGCTAGATCTACTGCTAGTCAGTCTTAAGTTCTATCACTATCTATATATTGACAATTTTCACGTGTTTTCACTTTTTTATCTCAATTTCCACATGGCAGCTTGAATTCTGAAACGAAAGACAGAGACATGCATGCACTACACGCCTCTAGAAATTAGAGCAAAGCAAGCATGCACGCGGGCGTGCGTGCACGATCGACAGAGCATCATATCCAGCTAGCAACATGCATATGTATCGGAGGGTCCTGACGAACACTTACCTTTCCGGGACGGGGTAGTCCGGGAAGAACTTGCGGAGGGTCCTGACGACGTCCTCGCGGTGGAGCACGGCGTCGGCGCAGATGTATCGGCCGGCGGCGTGGGGCGCCTCGAAGACGCGGACGTGCGCGTCGGCGGCGTCGCGGACGTGCACGTACGCCTGCACGGCGTTGGCGTACGTCTTGGCGGAGCCGTTGAGGTACTTCAGCACGTGCATGAGGCTGGCGTTCACCGTCGGCTGCAGCGCCGGGCCCTGCACCAGCACCGGGTTCACCACCACCAGGTCCACCCCGCGCGCCGCCGCCGCCTCCCACGAAGCCTGCTCCGCCACCGCCTTCCCGTAGCAGTACCAGTTCTGCATGCATCATGCATGGGCCATGGCCGTACGTCGTCGTCACGGTCGGTGAACATGTAGCGTGCAAACCATGAAGGGGACTGAAGCAGCAGGAGTACGATCGACGACTGTACGTACGTACCTTGGTCTTCTTGCAGAATTCGAGGTCGCTCCAGCACGACTCGTCGACGACGGCGTCCGGCGCGCGGTTGGGGTCCATGGCGACCGCGCCGATGGACGACGTCAGGACGACGCGGCGGACCGTGCCGGCCTCCGCAGCGGCGTCGATGACGTAGCGCGTCCCCGTCACCGCTGGCTCCACCATTTCCTCCTGCATGCACGGGACCGGAAAGGAAACCGCTGCTATGAGCAGTGGTGAATCTAGCCCGACAAATAGCCTATGCCATAAATTTTTGGCTTTTGGCAACCAGGACAGCACGCGTGACAGCAACCATGACCAAAACAAACAACAAGAATCAAATGTCACCAAATCCAAAATCCCCCCAATAATACTCAACAGCTTGCAGCCAGCAGGCCCGGCTGGGTCTGCGAGGACCTGGAACTGGAAGCTGGCCGGCGAGCGGCGGCGGAGGCGCCAAGCGCCCAATAGGCAGCCGGCGGCAGCTGGGGTGGCTCCGCCTCTGGCCATGAGCCTATGACTATGAGCCTGCCCATGAATGCATGCCAGCCATGCCGTGTGAGTAAATGCGACGAGGACAGAAGCAAAGGTCACTGAGGAGTGGGCCTAACTGCAAACGGTCGCATTTTTATTCCTCTCTCTACTAGCTGCACGCATCTGGCTCCAGGGAGTAAATTTTGCACGCATGCATGCATGCAGGAGACAGTTTTTGTCTCAAAAAATATTCTACTACTGGAGTAGCACTATTTATTCGAAAACAATTCAGCCAATGATCACGGTTACCAAATTAGCCATTTGTTTGGGAAGTAAATGTTTTTACTGAGATTTTGGATGATTGAGATGATCCTGTTTTTGAATAATAAATACATGCAGTAGGTGCCGTATAGGGTCCCAACTGGAGTACAGGAGAAACGTTTACTCCAAAGGCCAGTCTGGTTACGGTACGTGACATGTACCGTGATCGATCGATCTTATCCGTATTCAAGTAGTAGTAGTATAGGTTACACGTACCGGATCGTCGGTGACGGGCGACGCGGTGTGGAAGACGCCGTGGCAGCCGGCGACGGCCGCCCGCAGCGCGTCGTAGTCGAGCAGGTCGGCCTTGCACAGCGCCAGCCTCTCCGCCGCGCCGGGGAGCGCCCTCAGGTGCGCGTTCTTCGCGTCGTCTGCCTCCATCGATCGCCAGACAACACAGTGAGTATATCGATCGATCGCAATTCGACCTGACGATGGATGGATCTACGTTACCGGGGTTGCGCACGGTGCCTCTGACGGCGTACCCCCTCTCGAGCAGGAGCTTGACGATCCACGACCCGACGTAGCCGCCGGCGCCGGTCACGCACACCGTCTGCCCGCGCCCGGGCGCCGCCGCCGCGTCGTCGCCGCCCACGACGGTCATGTCGCCGCCGCCGCCGCCGCGCGTGGTTACCGGGTCGCTGTTGTTACTTACCACGGGCGAGAGGAAATTGGTCCCGATAATCAAGCAAGGGCTCTGTCGTCCTATCTGTCTCTCTTTAATCTGCGTCTCTATTGCGTGTTTGGTGCGGGCTATTTATAGGAGGCCCCGGAGGTCTGTGTTTGGTAAGACTTCGAGTATGTCGCCACGAGCTGGATCGGAGTTGGTCGCGCCCCCCCTCTAGCTCCTCCAGTGCCGCGCGCGCTAGTATCTAGCGTGACAGCCTCACAGGAATCCGTCCTGGGTAGCGTTACCTCGATGGACAGAGATTGCGTGACTTTGCTCCCTAAGGTTACAACGTAACTTTCTCTCCATCTCTGCCCTCTAAATCAGATTCAAAGGCTGTACTTCCTCTCAGCTCTTGGGATCATCTGTCAGTCACTCGTCGCTTTTCCCTCCGGCTCTGGAAGTCTGGTGGCAGGCGGAGGAGCAGCGCCACGCAAGGTTGGGGAGCCAGGCTCCAACGACGGCGCCGGCGGCGACCATGCGCAGAAGTTGATGCTCCATTACTGGTTGTTCACAACTTCTCGTTCAGCGGGAGCGGGCTCGCCGGCGGTGACGCGCGAGAGAGCTCGGCGCGGGAGGCCTGCGGCCGCGCGACGCAACGCGATGCGACATGCCGCCGGCGGTTCGGCGCTGCAGGCCGGCAGTGGCGCGGCGCGAGGCACCGGAGGCGCTGGAGGCCTGCGGCAGCGCGGCACGATGCGAGATGCCTGCGGCGTCACGGTGTGGCAGTCACCAGCCGGAAGAGCGATACTGGACAGCCACCGCGTAGGGCGGCGTGGCGAGCGGCCGGCCGGCGTGGGCACATGGCACAGCGAGCTGATGGCCATCGCGGGCATGGTATGCGGCAAGCGCGCAAGGCCGCAGCGGAGGGCTGCACGGCGAGCGGCTACCGTCGCGGACACAGCGAACAGCGGCCGTCGCGGACATGGGACGCGAAGAGAGCGTCGCCATCACGGTGGGCGGCGCGGCGAACATGCACAGCCGGTGTGGCAAGCTGGCGGCCAGCGCTGTGTGCGTACATGGTCAGCATGGCGAGCGACGGTCGGCGTGGGCACAGGGCGTGGCGAGCGGGCGGCTGTCGCGGGCATGGGATGCGGCGAGCGTTCGCGGCTGTTGCGAAGGTCGGCATGGCGAGTGGGGCGGCCAGCGCGGCGGCGATGGGTCTCCTTCGGAGCGGAGTGGTACCTCAGCGTGGCACTTCCGGGCCATCCGGGGAGGCGCGGATGGCAGCGAGGTGCCGGAGAACTGCGGTGTGGCAAGCTGCGATGCTGTACTCTGCTCTGCTCCTACAACGTGCTCGCGTTCTTGGACAACCTGCGCTGGTGGGGCGTCCCGCCGGGCTCCCAGGCCGGCCTGACCCACCGACGCCATCATGGTTGCGCTCCTGTGCGAGGGGATGGCGACAGAGGCGTACGAGGTCATCGTTGTTTGGGTTAATCCAATCAACACTGATGCTGGACACGTGATCAGGGTGACGGAGAAGTGAGGCTGGCGGGAAACTTCAAGTTTGAAGTGGTGAAGCCTGAGCGGCAACGGGAGATCATGGTGACCGCGCCCAGGACGTCAGTTGCTGAATTGTGTGTCTGACAGCGTCTTGTATCTTGTTTTAGGCAGTTTTCTTTTAAACAAGTGTGTGTAACAGCCGCCGGTATAAGTAGCTCTCATGTAAAAGTGCGTGTTAGCGCTTTGGTTCAGTTGTATTCATCATTGTACTCAAACCTATCAATAGTGAAAAAGGGCACCGTCTCCCGGGCGTCCTCCGGGCAGTTGTCGTTCGTCCACCTTCTGTTCTTGTGCATTCTTGTTCTAGGCTAGCCAAATTTGATCTTTGTTGTGATTTGTGATCCTGAATTCCAACATCTGGTATCAGAGTCACTGATCACACGCAAATACTTGCTTGATCCACGCCATGGGTGACCGGAGTGGTGGCGCAGGCGGCGGTGGTGACCGGATCACATATCCATCACTCACTGCAACCAACTACACTAGTTGGAGCATTCGCGTCCAGGCGATCATGGAGGACCAAGGAGTATGGGTGATCATGGAGCCGTCGGGGGAGACGTCGGAGCAGGGAGCGACGGCGGTTGCGATGGCAACGACGAAAGACAGGAAGGCGAAGGTGCACTTGCTGTAATGTCTCCCTGATGACCAGCTGATCCAAGTGGACGGCAAGAAGACAGGCAAGGAGGTGTGGGATTCGTTGAAGGCGAGGGTTGTTGGGGTGGATCGGGTCAAGGAGGCGCGGTTATAGACTCTGAAGAGCGAGTTTGACGTGACGCGGATGAAAGAAGAAGAATCGCTCGATCAGTATGTTGGGAGATTGACGGGATGTCAGTCAAGTACAGCAACCTCGGCGGCACGTTGGATGACGCGGCGCTGTGAAAAAGTTGTTTGACACCGTGCCGGAGAGTTTCATCAACGTGATCGCCGGGATCGAGCATTTTTATGATATGAAGAAACTGCCATTCGAGGAAGCTGTAGGCCGGCTGAAGGCGTTCGAGGAGCATACCAAGCGGGGAGCTAGGGGAATGCGCTTTGATAGCGGGCGGCTGTTGCTCACTCCATCTGAGTGGGAAGCACGCCAGAAGAAGTCAGTGGGAGAAGGTTCTGGAGGAGGGAGGTCTCATGACAGTGGAGGACGCGGTTGAGGAAGAGGCCATGGCGGAGGTCATGGCGGGCAAGCCGATGCGGCGAAGAAGAGCACAGGAAAGCGTGACAAGAGTCACATAAAGTGCTTCAAGTGCCACAAGTACGACCACTACGCAAACCGTTGTCCGGGGGAGAAGGAGGAGGAGGAGGCGCACCATGCCAGAGCAATGGAGACAGAGCCATCAGTGCTGCTCACGGAAATGGTTGAACTAGGACCGCTTGAGCGCACGCCATAGAAGAGTCTCTATTCAGAGGTGTATCTAGAGGAGATTAAGGTGACGCTGAGCTTCACTTCACCAGCGAGGAGGAGCCCACTAGTGACGTCTGGTACATGGACAATGGTGCCAGCAATCACATGACTGGTGATCGACTAAAGTTTAGAGACATCGATCAAGCTATCACTTGAAAGGTATGGTTTGGCGATGGCTCTACAGTGGAGATAAAGGGGAAAGATTCAATTTTGTTTCAAGGTAGATCAGGTGATCAATGGGTGCTTTGAGATGTTTACTTTATTCCAAAGCTTAGAAGTAATCTAATTAGCTTGGGACAGTTAACTGAAATTGGCACCAAATTGTCATGGATGAAGATGAGATAGAGGTGTCAGAGAAGAACCCATGGAGATTGATCATGAGAGTTCAGAGAACATATAACCGGTTGTACAAAATTGAGTTAATGACAGTGGAACTGGTTTATCTGTTGACTAGTATTGGAGATCATGCCTAGTTATGGCATGGTCGGCTTGGACATGCCAATTTTCAGGCTCTGAAGAAATTAGTTGACAAGGAGATGGTCGGAGGAGTACCACTGATTCAACATCCAGATCAGGTTTGTAAGGCTTGTCTAGCTGCTAAACAAACCAGGAAACCTTCCCTCACTCAACACTGTGGAGAGCAGATGAACCACTTCAGCTTGTACATGTAGATTTGTGTGGGCCCATTACACCACCAACAGCAGCAGGCAACAAGTATTTTTTGTTACTGGTGGATGACTGCACTAGGTGGACTACAGTGTATATGCTGAAGACAAAAGATCAAGCTGTTGATGCATTTGTAAAATTCAAGGCTGAAGCTGAGAATAACATTGGGCAGCACATTAACATACTTAGATCAGACCGAGGTGGAGTTTCTTGCTAGATCATTTCAAGGTGTATGTGACCAAGCTGGAATTAGGCATCAATTCACTGCACCCTACACACTACAGCAGAATGGTGTTGTAGAAAGGAAAAACACATCAGTGATGGAAATGGCAAGAGCTTTACTGAAGAGTATGGAGATCCCTGGGAGATTTTGGGCTGAGGTAGTGAGGCATTTAGTATATTTGTTGAACAGATTACCCACCAAGTCTATGGGGGATAGGACTCCTTATGAAGGCTGGAATAGAAGAAAGCCTCATCTTGGTCACTTGAAAGTATTTGGGTGCAGAGGCCATGTGAAGGTAGTGGGAACACATCTAAGAAAGCTTGATGATAGAAGTATACCAATGGTTTATTTTGGTATAGAAGAAGGCAGCAAAGCACACAGGATGTCCAATCCTCACAGCAACAAGATTGTGGTCAGCAGAGATGTTGTTTTTGAGGAGTTTATAAAGTGGGGCTAGGATGCTGTAGAAATAGGTGATTTTTCAGAAAATAGATAAGAGGAAAATGGTTAATTTTTCTCTACTGCTATGAGATATGTTGGTGAAGGTAGTAATGCTCAGGACAGTCAGAAGACAGGGGGAGCATCTAGTGGAGGAATGTAGTCTGCAGCAGGTGGAAATCCTAGGATGGAAGAAAATGACAGTCATTCTATCACTGTTCAAAATCCGACAATAGAAGCAGAGCCTACAACACCACACAATTCATCACATAACTCTGGTTGGGATCATGATGTCATCGATGTAGATTATAATATTGACCATGGCATTGGACCACACAGGTTCAGAAGCTTAGATGAGATCTATGATGAGTATGTTGAAATTGAGCTGATGGATTCTAATGTTGAAGCTTTATTAGCAGAAATAGAGGAACCATCAAGCTACAGAGAAGCAACAGAAAATCAAGATTGGGTTGAAGCAATGAACAAGGAGATGCAATCCATTGAGAAAAATAGAACCTGGGAGCTGGTCAAGCTGCCTGCAGGGAAGAAACCCATTGGGTTGAAATGGGTGTTTAAGCTAAAAAAGAACTCAGAGGGAGAGGTGGTGAAGCACAAAGTCAAATTGGTGGCAAAGGGGTATGTCCAGAAGCAAAGACTTCTTCAAAGTCAATACCATGCTCATGGGTGGAAAATTCATCACCTGGATGTCAA